CAACAAGCATTGGATAGAGATTCCAATCTTTCAGCCAATCCTGAATACCATACAGGAAATTACTTCTTTCTCTAGGATCATTGGGGGCATAAATACATAGTAAGGTGTATTTCTCCTTCTCATACATAAAATTTACAATAATTTTCTTCCTTCATGGTCAATTTTGTGTTCTAGAATATCAAAATGGTACTTTTGGGTTAAAAAGGATACTAACACCTTTACTATGATTTGTTCCATAAGAATGGATAGTCTTACCACCCCAGTGTTTGTCAATGCTTTGTTGTATATCACCTGTCAGGTAGGTTTCTTGTAAGAGGCATATATCTGCTTTTTTTGTTTCAGCCACAGTAATGTTTGATTTCGTTTATTATAGTTTCTTAAACCTCTACAGTTAAAGGATATCAACTTCAATTTATCCATCCACATCTTTCAAGAGAGTTGGATGAACATTATTGAAGAGAGAGTTACCTGACATTTGACATACACAATATACACCTAGGTACAAGTAGGTTTTTTTCGTGACTTACTGCTTCCTTTTGTACCCTGCTTCTGTTTACTATGGGATTGTCTCTGCTCCTTAAGCCAGTTTTCTAGTGTGGGCTGTGTAGAGTCTGATCGCTCACACATTTCTGTAGGCTTGTCGTTTGTGGTGCCATCAGTCTTTTTTTGCTTTTTGTGTTCGTCATTGTTCTTGTGGCTGTGACTCTTGCTTCTGCTTCTTGTGTTGTGTTGCACGATGCTTGGTGGAGCTGTTGGTTCTTCGCTGTCAGGAGATGTCACTCTGTCCTGCTCGTCGCTGACACAGCTGTTCCCATCCGACTGCTCATCTTCAGAATCCATGCCAAGGTTGCAAGCAGGATCACCACGCTTATGTCCAGGTTTTTTGCACTGAACACATACAACAGGTTTGTCGCATACACTCTTGTGATGCCCCGTTTCAAGACAGTTGCTGCATGTGAGTCTCTGCGTTTGGCTGGCTTCTTTCTGTTCCCTGTGATAGAATTCGGCCTGGAAAAGTCCTACGGACATCCTTCGTGGTAAAGGGGTAGAGGGTTTCTCTATGTACAGGAATCTTCTCCCTGTTAGGAAACGTGTTAACTTGCCGTCTTTGTTTCTTGCCCTTTCGTCGATGACCCGACTTGTGAGCTTGTAGCCACGTGAGCGTAGTGTTTTAGCTATTTCTTCGTTATCGTAAGACAACGGTATGTTACTCACTACAACTCTCGTCGATGCTGTGTCTGGTCGTACAACGTAGGGGTTTTTATGGAGCAGGCTTGCCTCTTGTCCTCGTAGCGTGATTGCGCCGGCTTGAAGAAGAGTCAGGCGTGCACCGACGGTTTGTGGATATAGCCGCCAAAAGGCATTTCCTCTTCCTTGCGGTTGTGCTCCTATGATCGAAATGGGGCCGGATACATCCTCAGCAGCTAGGCAGATTACAAGACAGCTGAGTGGTGCATCCTCGGTGTTTATGGCGATGTCTGAGGTCTGCACAAACACAGGTTCCACTCTCCCGGATTCCTCCTGTCTCTGTTCGTGGGGAGGGGGGTTGCGTGGCGCCATGTTGGAACGTCACTGACTGAGTCTGGAAGACGTCGTCTCTACAGTTTCTCGGTGAAAACAGTGCACGAGGTGAAGTCAAAATGTCCTTTGTATCACCAAGAGTCGATAGAAGGAGCAACAGTGTAAAAAAAAGCTAAAAACGTCGCAAACAAATGATTTTCGAAGGTACGAAATTACGAGAGATTTAGAAGACGGCCATATTGGACCATTGCATGATGGGATTCTCCTGAACAAAGCTATTAAAACCTTGAGAGGCTCATGAAGTTTTATACTTTTAAAATTGAACTGTTCTATATGTAGATTAAAGCAGTTGAATGTGCTTGTGCTTCTAACAAACTGTATAATTATGAAACAAAAAACTGTGACTTCTACCAAGTTGAACTTCCAAGATACAACTGTATAATTTTGCCTTTACTAGTGAGTCAGGTCAAGTCCAGGTTATTGTGAGAATGGCAGCAGCTGAACACGCAATCACACAGGCGCAGCAGTCCTTTGTCAGTGTGGTGCAGACTGGAAACATCGCAGGAGTTTCTGTTGATGCCTCCTCAGCCAGCATCCAGAAAACAGGTCAGTTCATTCATGATTAATCCCGTCACATAGAGCCAAATTTGGCCTCCCAAACACTGACAAACTACATATATATCCCCAACCATAGTTAGCAGTTGGTCGGTGGCAAGGTTAGTTTGGTTGACCAGGTGTTCAGTTAAGTCAGCTACTGTTATATGTATATAGGCTGCACCACACAAATGTTTCAAAATGTTTAAAACATTTGTGTTTGGATGGGAGGTTTGGCCATGAATGGCTCAAAGTGAATGGTGTTAGGAAGGAGGTGATTAATTATTCAACCTCTAAATAAAGTACATACTTCAGGACCTCTGGATGAATGGCTATGAATAGACATTGCTCATATGCTTTTTTGTGCCCCCCCCCCCCTTCTACTCTATGCAGAGCATCGGGGTGGTGCCCATTTCCATTTCCGTAGCCCTTGGGTGACACACAGTTGGGGCAGGGGGCTAGTCCGCTGGTAGTTCTGTGTGTTTGACCTTCCCACACTTTTTCTCACATGTGCTGAGTGCCTAGCAGAGAAAGAAGTGTGCACCATTTTTAAGTCTTTGGTATGACCCGGCCGGGGTTTGAACTCGCGACCTGGTTACAAAGCGAGCACTCTACCAATTGACCTATCGCACCGGTGCCTTTTTGTGTTACCAATCATTTAATGACTACTGTGTTTCTTCAGTGACGACCTCCCAGACTGCCCAGATGACCTTGACCCAGGCCTGGTCAGCTGACCTTCAGAACAAAGAATCTGTGGCCTTCACTACTCTACAAACAAATCTACAGGAAGCAGTGAGTTAGGCAATCGTACAGTGTTCTGTAGACATGCCAGAGCTTGGATTAAGTTAAGTCTTGGATTAAGTTTGCAATTCGTCAAAGATATAATCAAGTTACTGTTATCAGCATTATCTGTATTGTAGAGTTATGGGTAGTATAAATGCTCAGAATGAAAATGTGTTTTCAAAATTAAAAATTTATTATGTTTGATTCCAGTTAAGTGTGGAGTTAGGAAACACACTTGGTTTCCAGCGGGTCGTAGTGACTGAGTTTCAACAGAGGTAAGAAACTTTAATTTGCATATCAACAAATGAACAATGCAGATGATCCATTTGAGCGTTGTTGCTAGAAAGTATTGCAATTTTGTGGCTTTGCTTATTCCCTAGAATAAATGACTAAAAAGCATTGTTTTTCCCAATCAGCTCCAGTCAGACTGTCATTGTTGTGATGAACATCGTGGTAGCAATCTACGCTTCAAGTTCTGTCCAGACTACGTTCACTGAAGCAGTCTCCATTGGTCAGATTGGCACCATCACTGTTGACCCTGCTTCAGCAACTGTCACAAAAGACGGTAATGCAGAGAACATATCCCGCTGTTTCAGCAGTTACCACATTATGCATGTTCTGTATGTTTTTTTTACGAAAAAAAATGCCTACCACAGCATGCATTAGCCAAGAGGGTTTAAGTATGTTTACCGAACTTACTCCGTTCCAAACACAAAAGGTCAATGACCAAAACCAGACGTCTGTCACCATGATGACTGGTGTTGGTTTACATCATGTTGCAATTTTATAGCAGAAAGAATTTAGACTCCTGTCACCATTTATATGAATGCGTATGAGTAAGAATCAACAGAGCAGACCATATGCAAACGTAACATTATGAATTTGCTTTGCAAATGTTATCTTCCTAGTTTTAAATCCCGTTGACATGTCAACAGTTAATCCTACCATTGTTAAGTGATAGATTTGTGAGGAAATTTCCTCCACAGCATCTAACTTTTCAGTACCTCACATGGAAAATTAAGACTTGTTTCTGTGCCCTTTTGTAGTGAGTACGTCATCATCTGTGTCCATGACTGTAACCCAAGCCTGGTCTGCACAACTACTGAACACCTCATCTACAGAGTACGTCACCTTCAAGACACAGACAGAACAAGCTGTGAGTACATCTCAAGTCAAGTCAAAGTCCTTCCCACACTAGATGGTGCATAGGACGGCTCCTTATTCCATTTACATAACCCTTGGGCATACAACAGTGAACAATCACTATAGCAGGGGGATAGCCCACGGATAGTAGTGTGTACCTGTACGTGTTCATACTCATTCTGAAATGCTGAGTGCAGTGCAGGGAAAGCAGTATGCAGTACAATGCACTATTTGCTGTTACAGTATTCCAGGTTACTGACTCAAGTTTCAAACACCCCTCTAAACACAACTTAACCGCACTGCATTGTAGAGCATTAAATATTGTCCAAGACAGCTTAGTATACAATGTCCTCAGCATTTGTAGGTTGTAATGTACATGTACTATATCTTGTTCTGTGTACAACGTCTTAAAAAGCCTTCCAGAAATGTCTGCTGCATGGATCAAATGCACCTTTTATTAGCCTAAGGTTGTTTAGGGTCCTGTGAACAATATGATAGTATTAAGACATTACAGACAGTCTGACTATAAATGTTTTTGAAATTGTTTTTCTGTATGCCATTTTCTGACAGTTGACCACGAGCATGCTGAATGTTGTTGGGTTTTCTGGATTGGAAGTTGGACAACTGAAACAATCGTAAGTACATGATAGCAGACAATTATTTTTAATATTCCAACATTTCATGACTAGACATGGTGACAGCACACTCAAGTTACATCAACATATTTTATGCCGCCACCAATGCAGAGGACGAATACAGGACAAGACGAAACACGGGAAAGTCGTGTAAAGTGTCTTTCACAATAGAATAGGATAGAATTTGATGAAAATATAGAGTCCTATGTCACCATATATAGCTCAGGTCTAGATCTACACATTGTCCAACATTGTAGCCTCTATCAGGCTTAGATAGTACACTCTCTGGCGGGCCAAGCCCCTCGGCATGTTATCTATTTGGCCAATTTCTACTCTTTGTAGCTGCCTCCCGAAGCCTGGTAGAGGCTAAAACATTGGGCTGTGCAAAATTCAGTACCGATAACATCAATTGTTTTAATTAATGTTCAAAAATGTCTTAAAGTTTTTATTGTTGTTCTTTCCTCATAGTTCCTCAGGACAAGTGCAGGTGAAGTTGCGCATTGTTGCAGCTGAGTATTCCTTAACACAGGCGCAGCAGTCGTTTGTTAGCGTGGTGCAGTCTGGGAATGTTGGCGGCATCTCTGTTGATGCTACATCAGCTGCGATTCAAAAAGATGGTAAGGAAAAACACTTAGCAAAACTGTTGAGCAGCGTTAGAGTTTTTTCTTCAGAATGATCAATTCTCCATTCCATCTATGGAAGTATTGTTTTGGTGGCTGAGCTATGGGTTGTGGCTTTGTGTATGTTCGTTTGTCTTGTTTGTTTGTTTGCTTGACAAATTAGGTTGACAGCATGTGGGTGGATTGATAGGCAGTATGACAAGAGGTCTAAGAGTCAGACACAGGAAACAGGGTTAACTTGAATGTCCAGAAGACCTTAAAATTCTAGATTTGAAATTTAGATCGGAAATGTCTGATTGCTTGCTAACCTTTGGTTTACTGTTTTTATGAAAATATTCAGAATCAGGGTTGCTTTTTTTTAAAGAATTCCAAACTACAGACCAAACCGTAGGTCCATAGCAATTGTTAATTGTTAATTTAATTGTTTTAAATTTTCATTGTTTCAGTGACAACCTCCCAGACTGCTGAGGTGACCTTGACCCAAGCCTGGTCAGCTGACCTTCAGAACACGACCTCAGTGGCCTTCACTACTCTACAACAAGAAGTGCAGGAGGATGTGAGTCGATATTTTCCCTTTCTCGATCTCACATGACACATTTTTGGTAGAATCTAATATTTTCATGGAAATTTTCTAGTTCTCTGCTGAGATTAAAACAATTCATTCTGATCTGACAGCTAAGTGTGGAGTTGGGGAGTACTGTGGGCTTCCAGCGTGCAGTGGTGGTGGAGTTCAAGCAAAGGTTGGTATAAAGATCTCAGTCATGACTATGTGCTTTTGTTATTGTCTCTTATTTTTTTATTTCAATTATTTATGTTTTTTGTTAGTTGCAAAAGATAATAAGATTTTTCATGAGCGTGTAATGTACAAACGTAGGGAGAACAAGATTAAGAAATAAGGAAAATTATACAACTTTTTGTCATAAGTCAGGATTTTATACTTCAACATCATCATTCTACAACATCATTTACCTTTTTTAAAGTTTACAATGTCGTAAAAATGTGACCTGAAATCTACAGGATATGATAAAATACGTAGCATTCATCACATCACTATAAAATTACATGAAATGGTTTGCATTCTCTCTCCATTTCTCTTTGTAGTACCACCAACACAGTTGTAGCAGTGACTCGTCTTGTTGTGGCCACCTATGCTGCCAGCTCTGCCCAGGCTGCATTTGTTCAGACAGTATCATCCGGACAGATTGGAACAATCGCAGTCAACGCATCATCAGCAACTGTCAGCAAAGATGGTACGCAGTAGAAAAAGACATTTCAAAAACGAATTCAAAAGCCCTTTCCAGATATTCAGAAACTTTCTCTGACCACCAACCAAGGTTGACTGAAGTTTGGGACCAATTTAATACACATTTAGACCTACCTTTCTATACAAATCAACTCAAATTTAACTTAAATTTAAGCCAAAGTTGACCCCTGAACGCGCCCCAAACCAGCCAACCACAAGCTAACCTTGGCGAAAACTCCGGTCCACACCCAAATGTTTTCAATATTTGAAACATTCAACTAAACAGTAGCCAACTTCACCGAACACCAGCCAACCGCAGCCAACCTTGTTTGTGACCTACTCCTAACCATAGTTGGGGGGGGGGGGTTCTGCAGTGTTTGGGAGGCCATATTTAGCTATGTGTGACAGGGGCTAGATGCTTTAACTCATATCATTTACCGTTCAGGATACAAAATGCACTATAATGTCAATTTCATGCCAGGTATACTCAAACGAGAGACCTTCATTTTCAGTGAGTGCATCCTCCACAATGTCCATGACAGTCACTCAGTCCTGGTCAGCTGATCTGCTGAACAGTTCTTCTACTGCCTACCAAGCTCTGGTGGTCAACATAGAGAAAAGTGTAAGTCTTGCATTTGGTTTATATTATGTCCATTGTAGCATTCCCGTCCTTATCATATCTGCAACACTTTTTGCAGCACTTCTTTCATAGGCATGTACAAGTGGTTGTAGAATGTTTGTTACCTCCATGAAGAAACCTGGTATTGTGTTTTTGATCATTGTATGTGTGTATTTGTCTGAGTCTGTTTCTACGTCTTTTTAAGCATAACGTAAGAAGGTCTTTATAGATTGTGATGATATTTGATATGTGGGAAGATGTTAGGAATGCAAAGGTGAAAGTCAAATGTGGGCCTCCTGGGGGCTGGCCTTGGTACTGCAAGAGTGTTGCTATTCTTTTATAGCACACTGTTTTGTGTACGATTCTAGATGACTTCTACACTGCTGGCTACAGTTGGCTTCCAGGCATTTGAGGTGGCTCGATTCAAGCAAACGTATGTTGAAATAACTCTGCTTCACAATATATGTATATGATTATTATATTATAGGTTATTATATTATAGATAATATTGAATTGAGTCATTTTTCATTTCATTTATTTATATAGTTGCGCCAAAAATATAATTATATAAAGCCAAATATTAATCGACAGATAAACAAAACAAAGGAAAAACAGTGTGCAGGTGGAGGGAAGCAAGGCTATTACAATGTCCTCTTCCTTGAAACGTAGTAAATATTAATAATGAAACTAACGTGATGAATTAATTAAATAAAACTTGATAGAACAAATGTGTCAGATCGGTGTATAAGCAATGCTAAAGTGACAAAAATATAAAAGGACATGGAAGTAATATATGCTAGAAATTAATACAACTGAAAATTACACAGATGATATAGTGCATTGTATATGCTACTGAAAGAGTGATGCGATGTGAATGAAACATGAACATGAGGAGACCAAGACTGCCAGAAACAGAATCCAACAGAGAATCCTTGTCAGTTTTAAACGTATAATGCAACCAAAACCTTTGTACGACAAAATCACATTCCTATCTGAGATTCACAAGTACCGAACACGTTCAACCAGAACAAACACAATCAGAATACCAAAACCAAAATCCAACTTTCAGAAAAGGCCTTTTCTGTACAGAATGTCACAATTGTGGAATAACACAGGCGGCAAGTAGCAAAGTACTGGACTGTAAATAGTGTATTTAAGGAATTGTGTTAAGTTTGCTATATACTGTTAACTTTGTAATGTTTTTGTATGTTTGTAATACATGTATGTATATATGAATGTGTATACCAAAGGAATAATAGCCTCTTATGAGGCTAATTGTGGACCTAAATAAACTCAAACTAAAAAAAACAAAATTTGCAGGTCTTCAGGACAGATCGAGGTTGTGGTGAGAGTGGTAGCGGCTGAGTACGCTCTTGCTGCAGCTCAGGAATCCTTCGTCACTGTGGTACAGACTGGGAGTGTTGCTGATCTCTCATTGGATGCTACATCAGCTGTTGTCAAAAAGACTGGCAAGTCTATGAAATTCAATGCTTATTCTTCTTTACACAACAATATGTAGTCAGTAGAGTATTTCATTTGCTTTATTCTAGTTATTTATGCCACCTTTAATTTATTTTGCAAAAGATTTAGATCGGATTTTCAAACATTTCTAGAGAAGTCGTCCATGCACCGAGCAGCTTCTTTTTATACTGCAACTTACAAACTACATAATTGTTCTGCTGCTGCTTGTGTGTAAGATTTTGCTCTCTGATTGTCAAGTTCACTTCCCATTATTGAAGAAATGATGCTGTTGACACCTATTCTACTGCAAAAAAGTTTGAATGTTCTGTTGTTGTTTTTTGTAGTGACTGCTTCCCAGACTGCCCAGATGACCTTGACCCAGGCTTGGTCAGCTGACCTTCAGCAGACGTCAGCAGCAGCCTTCACCACACTCCAAACTCAAGTGCAAGAAGCGGTGAGTGAAACATTATTACAAAGCCATGTGCATATGCCATATGAACGTTCACTAAAAGAAGTATACTTGATGAAGATGATGATGAAGATTTTAAAACACTACCAGTGACTTCTACAACATTGAATGTTGAAGAACAGTGCATACTTCTTACTTAAGTTTGTATATGATAGAAATTTGATAGAAGAGTATAAGTTATGTTGGTCTGAATATAGAAAAAGTCTTAATTCCATTTTTTTTCTTTTTCTTTCCTGCAGTTGACTGTTGAGCTTGGGAACACTGTTGGATTTCAGAGTGTCAATGTCGTGTCTTTTGAAGAAAGGTTTGTGAAACCTGTACAATTTTAAGAGCTAATTTGTTAACTTGAGTTGATTTAATTACATGATATGATTCAATCCATATGGGCAACTTTTATGTTTATCTGTCTTCTAGGGCAGTTTTGACTTTATAATTACAAAATCGATGTGTAATTATGTACATTGTACAATGGTTATACGTAAGTGTGTATAATGGTGAAATCAATATGTATAATTATGTATATTTGCCTAAAGGGATATGTAAAATTATGTATAATGGTGAAATTTAATATATATATATATATATATATATATATATATATATATATATATATATATATATATATATATATATATATATATATATATATATATATATATATATATATATATATATATATATATATATATATATATTCATGTATAATTGTGTATATTGAAAAAAACATATATATAACTTTCATTCATGTATATAACACAATCATTGATAATTGTACATATTGCACCTTTTTTTGTAGTTCTACATCTACAGTGACAGCAGTGGTCAGGTTGATTGTCGTGTCCTATGCTACAACGACTCTGCAGCAGTCCTTCACTCAGGTGGTCAGTTCTGGTCAAGTGGGGACAATAACGGTCAACAAGACATCAGCAGTGGTCAAGAAAGATGGTAAGGAAGTGTGATGTAATTTTCGTTGTATTTGCATCCAATGCAATTTTAGGGTGGCATAACAAAAATTATTCTGATATTTGAATGAAAGCTCATCTGTGTTGGTAGAATCCATAGTTGGAACAAAGATTGAACACTTTAACTATGAAAAAATATTCCGGATGAGGAAATCTGTCTTATTTTGACGTTTACTGCCATTTCATACTTCAAGTATCTGAAATAGCCCCCAAACATGCTACATTGAATGGATTAACAGTAAGGGAATACCAGTATATAATGGTATTAATAACACACGTAGATCAGCACCAAGGCAAGAGTCAATAGAAAACAAGCTATGTAAGAAAAGAGTTTGATCTTTGTCTTTCATTCTAAAGTTTGAAGGAATCAGGATTTTTTAAGCCCTCAATTGCACTCTTTTAATTTAATCACTTAAGTTAATCATTGAGAAAACTGGCAAGGATTAAATCAGTTTAGGGGTTATGTACTTTTTATTATATTTATGTTGTTTCATCAGCATCCATGCTAGTTGAATGGAACATGTACATAACGCAGTTGTATTATCACTACAGTAGAGGGCTAGTTCACTGGTATTAGTGTGTGTTTATCTCCCATACTCTTCTCAATCACTGAATGCTAAGCAGAGAAAGCAGTATGTATTCTTAACTCTTTGGTATGACTATGGAGATTGAACTCACGACCTACCGAATGCAAGGCGAGCACTCTACCCACTTGGTCATTTCACCGGTTGTGCATATCTTGCCTAACCACAGATCCAGATTACTACATGACTTTGACCCATGTTCCTTCTCAGTTGGTTTGTCGACCACGGTGTCCATGACAGTTACCCAGTCCTGGTCAGCTGACCTCCAGAACACCACATCTCAAGCCTTCGTCACTCTTCAGACACAGATACAGCAGGCTGTGAGTATATGTACATGCTGCAATCATGCTTTATGAATTTTTTTTATTATGATTGGGCCACACTGCCTTAATTCTATGGATGACATCCGCGCCCCATTGATTTTCGCCTGTTCTCAACAAAAAAGTATACGTCCTCCGAGGCTCTGGCCTGGCTCTAGGCCTGGGTAGTCCATGCTAACTAGTGACAATACGGAGCCTGTGGTAACTCTGGAGGACGGCACCCAGGCTGCCAAAGCTCCACGACTCAAGAACTCTGTACATGCGTACAGTGCAGATTCATAAATTCCGCAAAAAGCCAGCATTTGCCGGCTTGTCGTATATGTCGCTATATGTACTGCCGTAAATTCACGATGCCAGCTTTGTATTTTCAAGGAGATTTTAAACATCCTTGGTATTCCTGTGGTTTAGTAGCATTTTTATTTTTGGCCGGGATTTTTTTTTTATTTGCCCGCGAACACTAGTCTGGAGGTCTTCGGAGGATGTCATCCATAAAATTAAGGCGGTATGGCCTTGTTTGCTTCAGACAAGTGGGCCATATTAGTGCAGCGTTAAGGAAAACATACAAAAACTAAAAGTAAGTACATCCACTATAACATAAACTATTGCCATACAGATAAGTGGCTAAATGACGGGCAAACCAAGCTGATGCACAGGTTGTGTACTGATGCCAGAATTACAATAATGTATGAAGATAGGTCAAAGTGAATTTTCCATTTCATTATGCCTGAAGATTCGAACAATGTACAATGTATACATTGGGCTGTATTATAGAATATCCTAAGAAGTCTACCCGATAGATGCATTCCCTATATAATAGGTAAGGATTCGAATTGTTGTAATTTCACAGATGACTACGAGTCTTCAGACCACAACAGGCTTTCAGGCTGTGCAGGTTTCACAGTTCAAACAAACGTAAGTATTCCAAAAACAAAGTTTCTTTTCTAGACAACTTTATCTACATTTTGTATCAATAAATTTCTGGTTTCGTCTACTATTAGATTCACTTTGTTCATTTTGTTGTATCAGGTTTCCTATACATATAGCATTTGAATATTTGAAGAAATGTTTTCCTTATTCAAATTTACTTGTAGGGAATCAGGTAACATACAAGTCATCCTGCGGATTGTAGCAGCAGAGTACTCCCTGACTGCAGCCCAGGAGAGCTTTACAACAGTGGTGGAGACTGGGAGTGTGGCAGGGGTTTCTGTGGATGCCTCATCTGCTGTGGTACAAAAAGATGGTATGACATATTCTCCGTGTTTTATATTGTTTGGGGTGGCTGAGGTGTTGGTTTGTGTATCCGTTTGTCCAGAAATAGTGGTTGACAACACTTGGCTGGGAGGAATGACAGGCAGAATGACAGGAGGGCAAAGTTAAGAATCTAGCCAAGAGCCAACAGGAATTAGGAGTAGACATGGGTGGAATTCAGGAAGTTGAGAATTGCATACAAAAGTCATGTCTTTCTTGGAATTTTAAGTCTGAAATCTTTGATTTCTTGCTAGTTATCAAATGCTAAAATTTTCTTAGTTACATTTTTCAAAGTTGAGAGTTATATTATAGACATTGGACACTTGATGATTACTCAAATTTGTATTTTCCCTAGTTACGGTGTCACGTACCCTTCAGATGACCATCCAACAAGCCTTCACTGCAGCCTTACAGGACACGTCATCACAAGCCTTCATTACCTTACAAACACAAGTACAGGACGCTGTAAGTACATGTAACACTGAATGTGAGACACAATGTAGTGATAACATGCTGCACTTGACCTTCAAGATGCTGTCATGTGATACTGTATTAATTTTACAGTTATCATGTCATGTGATACTGTATTAATTTTACAGTTATCATTCAAGAATTGAGGTAAAGTATTGTAGAGTTGAATTCGCTGTCACCAAGTACAGCAGGAGCATCCTCACTAGATAGCTTTAAGCAATGTTTTAGTTTAGGCTAGTGTAACAAGTCATTTGGTGTAATGTAGCCAGCTGCCGCCGGGACGTGTGCCTGTGAAGCTGGTGTGTTATGCCGAGAGGCGGTTATACCAGCATATAGTACACAGATACAAATTCAGAACATGTACTAAATTTCTGAAGTAAATTGCATTTATAGTGATGGATTTGCAAGGAAACATTGCTTACAAAGAGTGCATCTCATAAATTGGACAATGCCTCTTTTCATATCTAGGTAACAGAGGAGATGTCAGCGACTGTTGGCTTCCAGCGTGCTGTGGTGGCTGAGTTCAAACAAGAGTAGGTTCCTTTCCCTTTTCAAGATGTCTTATAATTTTTTTCAAAATTGTTTAAGACCTACTGCCATTCATTTTATGTTTATGGTAGCAAAAAGTTTGCAGCCTGAGAAAAATAGAAGTGTTCACGGAACTATATGATCACGGTGGTGGCAGGTATAGAAAAAAGAAAGTCGATGAAATTTCTGTTAAGAAAAATGATACGATTACGGTACAGAAGGAACTGTGAAAACCATGAACATAAAAGTGCCATTAAGTAAAACTCAGGAATTACAGTTACTGTAACAGTATTGAACATCATTCCAATTCATACCATTCATATAGTTTCACTAAACTTCAAGTTAACATCAAGTTCAAGGTTGATCATTTGATATTTTTACAAAATCTTTTTCCTGCAGGTCTAGTAGCACAGTTGCAGTGATCAGAACTGTCATGGCCTCCTATAGTTCCAATGAGGTACAGAACGCCTTCGTCACTGTGGTAAAGAGTGGGCAAGTCGGGAACCTGGTGGTCGATGCCAACTCTGCTACCATTAAACAAGACGGTAAGATTCAAGTCATGTTTATAATGACCATAAGTAAAAACTCATAACCCATGATCAAACACTTTGTAAGAAATCCAAGCCAGACTAGATTGACTTCACAATATATATGATAAACATCCATACTTACATGTACGCTTCCCTTCTAAAGTACTTTTGAATAGGGGAGCATTGTAGTATTCAACAATTTTGTATTTAGAAATTTTGTTCCTGAATCATAAGGAATCAAGGCCTATTTACCCAAGCTCTTGTTCAAAATGGCATTCTTTAATTAATAAGTAGCTGCACGAAAAGTAGTTTGAATTATTTAATTTTCTTAATTATAAGATTTCAAGCGTACCACAAAAGTAAAAGATGTTGATGCATAATTGCCAATGATGAGTACACTGTCAGGTAAATAGGCCAAATAACAATTTCTGGAGCATATGCTCTGGACTGTTTAAATTTCTTGTAACATTGTGCAGATATAAGATACAACCTTTTATTTTCCCTTTACAGTGACGGTGACTCGTACAGCATCAGTCACCCTTACCCAGGCCTGGTCAGCCAACCTGCTAAACAAGGAGTCTACAGAGTTCAAGACACTACAAACACAAACAGAAACACAAGTAAGATGAGAGAAACATTTCTGCTGCCTAAATTTGATAGAGAAAACACACCATGTTTTTATTTACTTTCCACACAGCTATATTGTATGTCAATTTTAAACTAATATTCGCATTTTTAGATTTTATGAATGTACATAGTTTCTCGCAACATGATGTTAGAATAATCCTCGCAATTCAGCCAACATAGCTGCCAGGAGGCTTGTGTGTACATTTTTTTGTTCTTGTAATAAACCATTCTCCTAATACCACTACTACTACTACTAGAATTGGCAGACAAAGGGGTAGTTCAGTATGCTCAATAATGTAATGAATTTATCCTTTTATTTGGAAGATATTGTTCATAACTTGTGGTGTTCCTCTCTCAACAGATGACATCAGCTCTGCTTGTCATTGTAGGCATCCAAGGAGTTACAGTCTCCGAATTTAAAGAAAGGTATTGTAATATACTAGTAAAACTTATTCCACTACGCATTCCATCCCAGTTTTTGAAGCACAATGCCGAGTTTCTTTCCATAAGATCATGTGGCGCAACAGCAGCGTGCGCGACTCGGAATCAAGAGGTCTCGGGTTCGAGTCCTGACATGCCACCGATCTTGTGCCCTTGGGAAAGGCGACTTTCCCCACTAAACTCAATTGAAAATTAGTATTATCTGTCCCATCAACAGCTGCCTCTGTTCCACGTGTATTGCATTGTTGCAATTTCAATAAAATAAAAAATAAAATACATAAATAAAATAAGACCATTGTACACATGCTCCTTGATGTATAATAATTTCTAAATCATATCCTTTTGCATACTGTACATAGGAATATACATGTATATTAAAGACTTGTACATATATTAGAAACTCCTTCAATACTTGTAAAAATTTCATACCTATCCCATAATAGTCACCCACTAATTTCAATGTATTAGTAAGGATAGCCTTATGAAAATGTAGTTAATATGTACTTTGTCATACTTGTACCAATCTACAAATGTTGTGCAATAAAGTTATCTCTTATCTGTATCTGTGTTTAGCTCTTCCCAGGTCCAGGCTGTAGTCAGACTGGTGGTGGCAGATTATGCCTCCAAGTCTTCACAGATGTCGTTTGCGACTGTTGTGAAAACTGGCAAGGTTGGCACCATAAGTGTGGACCCTGCTTCAGCAGTTATAAAAAAAGATGGTAAGTTTGTAAAATGTGTTTTAGTTAAGGAAATGATTTGTTTACTGGTTGGTTAGTTGACTAGTTGATTAGTTGTTTGGTTGACTGGTTGGTTGACAGGTTGACTAGCTGGTATGGTTGGCTGGTCGGTTGGTTGGTTGGCTGGTGGTTGGCTGCTTTATTGGTTGGTTACTAGGTTAGTTGGCTGGCTGGTCGGTTGGCTGGCTGGCTGGTTGGTTGGTCGGTTGGCTGACTGGTTGGTTGGTTGGTTGACTAGTTGTTTGGTTGCTTGACTGTTTGTGTGGTTGGTTAGTTGACCTGTTGTTTGGTTGGCTGACCTGTTGTTTGGTTGATTGACTGGTTGTTTGGTTGGTTGACTGTTTGTGTGGTTGGTTAGTTGACCTGTTGTTTGGTTGGCTGACCTGTTGTTTGGTTGATTGACTGGTTGTTTGGTTGGTTGACTGATTGGTAGTGTGGTTGGTTGGTACATAATTGAATGGTTGATTTTTTTGGTTGACTGGTTCATTGGCTGTTTGACTAGTATTTTTCAAACACACTATAGGCACCATTGAATGTAGTTACGCTAGACCAAGCAGTCAATTTTTTACTCATAAATAGCAAATAAAGTAAAACCTTGATTGCCCTCCCCCCAGTGAGTGTGACCTCCACGACCTCCATGACCTTGACCCAGCCCTTCACTGCTGCCCTCACCAACAGCACAAGTACAGCATTCATCGCCCTCAAGTCTACTGTGGAACAGTCGGTAAGTCAATTTTTTTAGTCTTGAACCAGATAGCTCGGCTATCACCATGGTAACTGGTGCTGTAGCAGACCGTTTCGATGACCGTCTGTCATCTTCATCAGGGCAATTCTGACTGGTTTACTGTGCACTGACACTAGATGTTACTGTGCACTGACACTAGATGTAAACAGAAAAAAAAACTTGCTTAAGTGCACTGTGAACTATGTAACACCTTTAGTGCACTATGCACCAAGTAACATCTAGCGTCAGTGCACAGTAAACCAGTCAGAAATTGCCCTGATGAAGATGACAGACGGTCATCGAAACGTCGACTAGTGAAAAATAAATGGTTGTTATAAAAAGAACTTTGCTATTCATTCGTTTACCAACCTGATGAAATTATTTACGGATGAATTTTGTAGTTTTGAATCCTTTAGAAACATGATTATCACAAATGATGATTAAATGTAGGCACGTAATTTGTGTATATCTCTTTACTGTAATATCATTTACATGTATTAACACATGTTGTATTTTGCTTCATAGATATCAGAGACCCTGATTCAGACCGTTGGTTTCCAAAGAGTAGAAATTGTAGAGTTTGTACCATCGTGAGTATGCATTTTAAATCTAGTCCAGGACAAAACTTTGGTGGCATTAATGCTTTGGACTAGCAACTTTTCCGGAGACATCTTTTTGTGAAGATGACAGTCAATCCACAAGACAGCATACATTCTTATTTCCCCTTGTCATAATGCTCGTGGCTACTTACAATATACAGATTCTCCTACACTACTAACTTGTTTGTATTGTTTTTACTGAATGGTGGATAGTGGTCTAGTAAACTATTGTATGCTTCTACATGTATATAGGACACATATTGCTTCTAATAGGTACACTTATTATAGGTACACAACTAATTCTGTTGCTTAGTAGTGGATTCCTTCAATTATGTTTAGTTTAGTGCTGTCTTTTTACTCCTACAATATTGGATTTTTGCCGGTATTACAAGCTACAACTAATTAAGATTTTGCCAAAAGGTTCAGTGCTCTGCCAAGTTGTGTAAGGTTAGGGTGTTAAACAGAAGAACAACTATCTCTTGAGATGAAATTAGAAGAATAAAGAATCTAATTTCCTTCTGTTTTTATTCACGTACCCAAACTCTGCAAATGGAAATTTTTAAAGAATTTTTTTTAATGTTACTTCCATTGTTTTTGCACTTGGAAAGCTCTTGCTGTACCTTTACAGTATCATACATTGTGTAGTTTGACTACAGTACTCAAGTGAAAAACTCCATTTGTTTAGGTTACGTTGGTACATGCATGTGTCTCACAGAGAAAGAGACATCGCAATTGTATATTAATATTAACCTATCACTTGCTGAAGTTGCCTTCTGGTACCAAACTTGTATTAGCTATGGTGTTAGGTAGCAGGAAGAAGGATACAATCCTAGTGTGGTTTGATTAACCCCCCTTTTCTGACAGACAAAGTGGGCAGGTCCAGGCCAAGGTGAGAATGGTGGTGGCAGATTTTGCGACGACCTCTGTGCAGACGACCTTCACCACAGCTGTCAAAACTGGCAGCGTGGGAGCTCTGACGGTGGATCCTAACTCTGTCGTCGTGGAAAAGGATGGTAAAAAAACTCGCTTTTTACTCTCATGAAAAATGGAGGTATTGGTTTTGGTATACCTGTTTGTGTTGTGTGTGTGTGTGTGTGTGTGTCTGTGTTTCTGCATGGCCCTTGGGTCAGATTGTAATGCATATGGTTGGGTTGGGTTCATTAATCACACCAGATTCTATATGTGGTACCACATGCAGTTTTTGAAGGTGTTTTTTCATTACATGACCTCCATGACACCTGACAGCTGATGTTGTTTCCCTTGCATTTTAAAGAAAGACTAGAAGTCACCTTGGTGAATAAGACTACACAGTCAATATTACACAACATCTTAATTTTCCACGGCGGTCTGAAATCTCTGAATTGTTGAAAAGTGGAAAATGCCAGCTACTGATGGTATTCTATTGTAAGGTCTTCTTTAACTATACTGACAAGTAGATACAAATGAACAAGTGGATACAAATGAACGTTCTTTTATTTAGTGAGTACAACATCCACCATCTCCATGAAGATGACCAGTGTAACGTGGAATGCAGCATTGTTGGACACCACAACCGAGACCTTCAGCAGTCTCAAACTCGATGTGGAAGAATCAGTAAGCATTTTTAAATAGCCATCTTTTATAACACCATCATTTCAGCACCAAGGAGAGACCATACATAAGTTTTTCTGCAGTGTCAAAAATGTGAAAACTAATGGGAATTATGGTTCTGATCATGTTACAGCCTTCATAAAATTTGTTAACCCAAGAAGCTGGCTTGCTTGTGTTCATAACAGTCAACTTTCTAGAGTATTAATTTTTTGGGAACCGTGTTCACAAAGCTGTCTTTTTAGCACTAATTAGGAAAGATCATATGTGTAATGAGGAATCAGTATTTTGACGTAGTTGAAATAATAAAAAAACTGATAGAAAATTAGAGCTATGCTTGTCTTGTAGGCTCCAAGAAGCCATCGTCTATTTCAAGAATTTTTAATGGTGGGGTTGTGTGGCGTAGCGGCAGAGTGCGCGACTCGGAACCGAGAGGTCCCGGGTTCGAGTCCTGACATGCCACCGATCTTGTGCCCTTGGGAAAGGCACTTTACACGACTTTCCTCACTTCGCTCAGGTGAAAATGAGTATTGTCTTGTCCCCTGTGTTGGTGGCGGCATTAATATAAGTTTAAAAAAAAACTTGAGTGTGCCATCACCACGTCTTGTGATTACATGTTGGAATAAAAAAAAAAAAAGAATTTTTAACTCTTAGATTAAACAAATGTCCTCCTAATAGGTATAAGTAAAAGATATTTTTTCTCTTTTCAGCTACTGCTTGTGATGGTGTCAGTGGTGGGATTCCAGCGAGTGGAAGTGGCTGAGTTTAAAGAGTATGTATTACACATGATTGCCAACTGTGAATAGCTCGCATAAATTTATGAAAGGGACTATGCTTACTAATAACTAGATAAAACAGCCTCCAGTTTAATTCCGGACTTCCAGTTTAATTCCGGACAACCTCCCATATCTCAGCAACCTTAAGGTCTCGGACCGGAGTTTTTTTCACGATTTTGGATCCGGCGGACACCCTCAGACCGAAGGGCTATAACTCCGCCAAAAAAAGTACGCCGGGAAATCTCATTACATCAGTCAACGGAGGTTTCCAGCCGGCTTCCGATACAATTTTGGTTATTGTCCGTCGACTCTATAATTTGGGTAGAAACTGTAGTTAAACGTAAATTTTGGATACGAAAAATGTAGTTTTTTGCAGTTTTTTCAACGGACCTGCTTGAAAAAAACGAATTTTCCCAGGCTAACGGCTTATATGCTGAAATAGCTTACTACTTTCTGTTTCTGAAAAACAGAAAAAAAATATAGGTTGTTGCGATAAGTTTTTCGCAAAATCCGGTGACGCGAACCCCTAGAAATTCCACATAGAACGCAGCTATTTGGGTCATCAGGCGACAAACCGCATCACCCTTGCTCGCGGACTGATACCAAAAACGCTTCGCTGGCCGTCCAACTTCACCGCGCCGAAAAACACTACAATCCCAAGGCTTTTTGATCAATTCAAAGCCTAGTTGAAAATCTACAGCGATCGCCGAGCTATGGGGAGCCAAACCTAGCGTGACAACCTCGCAGATCCGGCGATTTACTGCGCACTATTTGGAACCCTGGTCAGAATTAAACTCCGACCCGGAACCTTAAACCCAGATGGGCTAATATCGCAAACCATAGGTAAAAATGATGTAAGAAATATATAGCAGCTATTCGCGACCCAATGGGGGTTCGTCCAATTAGAGATTATTTTTCATAAAAAATTATCATAATTCTTCAGAAACATCATATCTATCATATATCCAAATTTTACATGTCTGCGATGAGTACTTTTCCCGCGGCAGAGGTTTAAAGTCATGTGAAAAATGCAGTGTTCTAAGGCTATATTGCCAAGTCTCGGGTTCCAGGCAGCGTCACAATGGGGCAATTAGAAAAATACCGTTATTTCAAACATCGCTTTTCTCAAAACAGTTATAACGGAAATTAAAGTCTGCTCTGGATCTTGGCTATGGATATTTGTGTTCTTTTCGTGATTTCGGTGCCGCATACTTGCAGAAAACGTTCTTAACAGTTGGTATCGATGACGTCACGCAGTGACGTCATTGGGTCCCCTGGGAAAACAGCATGGGGTCGCGTTTTAGGTTCGTCGCTTTAAAGTAAAAGGAAGAATTCGTCAGATTTCGACCTTGAATGATAGACCAGGGTTCGCACTTTCCGAATCAAACGCGTCCGACACCAAACTCTTCACTACTTTGCCGTGAATGGCCTATAAAGTAGCAAAGCGCTCCTTAAATGTGTGAAAGGCTGCATTATTACGAGGTGCAAAACACAATCTGGGTGATATTGCCGTGGCTAGGAGCAAGAAGTTGAAATAAACGCTGTAAAGATGTGAGGTAGTACTTATTAGGCTATCACTTAACACCACCCAAAGGAAAGAAAGTCGCGAATCTAAGGAGCCCTGAACCGAACATCAGAAAACCCAGTTTTGCCTTAAGAAGGCTTAAAACACTTCGATTTTGCTGTTAAATGTCAGTTTAAGTAACCATAAATAGAGAAACTTCGCCGAAATTATACGAAAGTCAAATTCAGAGGTCGACTCATATAAAATGACATAGAAAGTGAATTCATGCAAGAACTGTTTACCTTCCAGAAACGATTAAAATTGCCCTGACGGGGATTTCGGGGGGGGGGGCGGGAAAGGGGAGGGGGCGCCTAGGGCCTGGGCATGAATATTACGACTTTTTACTCGAAAAAAGCAAAATGATGCGTTTTTTTGTCAGAATCGGATAACTTTTGCCAAAAACTTTTAAATCCATACGAATGACGTCATCGATGACGTCATTTTTTGCGCATGCGCCGTGCTTTTAAGGTCTCGGACCGGAGTTTTTTTCACGATTTTGGATCCGGCGGACACCCTCAGACCGAAGGGCTATAACTCCGCCAAAAAAAGTACGCCGGGAAATCTCATTACATCAGTCAACGGAGGTTTCCAGCCGGCTTCCGATACAATTTTGGTTATTGTCCGTCGACTCTATAATTTGGGTAGAAACTGTAGTTAAACGTAAATTTTGGATACGAAAATTGTAGTTTTTTTGCAGTTTTTCAACGGACCTGACTTGAAAAAACGATTTCCCAGGCTAACGGCTTATATGCTGAAATAGCTTACTACTTTCTGTTTACTGAAAAAACAGAAAAAAAAATATAGGTTGTTGCGATAAGTTTTTCGCAAAATCCGGTGACGCGAACCCCTAGAAATTCCACATAGAACGCAGCTATTTGGGTCATCAGGCGACAAACCGCATCACCCTTGCTCGCGGACTAATACCAAAAACGCTTCGCTGGCCGTCCAACTTCACCGCGCCGAAAAACACTACAATCCCAAGGCTTTTTGATCAATTCAAAACCTAGTTGAAAATCTACAGCGATCGCCGAGCTATGGGGAGCCAAACCTAGCGTGACAACCTCGCAGATCCGGCGATTTACTGCGCACTATTTGGAACCCTGGTCAGAATTAAACTCCGACCCGGAACCTTTTGTTTATCGACGCCATCTTTAATCGCAAAGGACTGTGGGACATCCAAGTAAAGGTCAAAGTGTCATCTTACTGCCACCATCAAATTTTATTTCCCAACTTTTTTTCAATAACAAAATACGAGCATTTTACGTCCTTTTATCCGATTTATTCTTTATTCAGACACAAAACACTTTATTTTGTTGTAGATTATATAATTTCGGCGACGAAAGGTCAACAAAGCGCCTGGCAACGGCCCTAGCAACCGTGGCGTCATGACCCCAAACACCTGCGACCCAGTTGAATGAATCGGGAAGAAGCCGTCTGCATGACTCCCTAAGAATGTCGGTGGCCACTGAAGAGTCTCGTCCCGCCACGGCCCTCTCCCGGGCCAGC